CCTCATGCATGTAGTTCCCAAATAAGGAACGGGGGATACACAACTTAGTTCCTCTAAAAAGGTAACCATCCTTGAGCAAGAAAGCAACATTATCACAGGAGTGGTTAGCTAGAATTTCTTGAAAGATGATATCAATGTCAGGACAACTAAGATAATCTTCCTTCAAACGGTCAAATTCCACCACCGTTATGGTCGCAGCTCGTAGCATGGAGTACAGTAGTAATACGACTAAGAGCATCAGCCACTTTGTTGTCAACCCCAACTCGATGGTGAAGGACAAATGTGTATTCTTGAAGAAACTCTACCCACTTAACGTGTAGATCACTCAAATTACGCTCAGAATTGAAATAACGAAGGGCTTGATTGTCAGAATAGGGAACGAATTCAATAAGTAATATCGGTAGTGACGAATAGATTGGATAATATCATATAATTCCTTATCATAAGTATGATATTTTTGTCGTGACAGGTTTAATTTCTTACTAAAATAAGTTATAGGATGGTCATCTTGACTTAAAATGCCACATATACTAATATTAGAAGCATCGCATGCAACCTCAAAAATTTTAGAGAGATCGGGGTAGCATAAAATAGGAGCCTCTATCAACTTATATTTAATGGCTAAGAAGGCTTACTGTGTTGATGGGGTCCCATGAAAATCTTTTTTTCCATACACTAAGTGATGTGGGCGGCAATAGAGCTAAGGCCTTTTGATGAATCTCTTATAGAATGAACATAACCCATGAAATCTACGAGCTTCAGTCAATTTTGCAGGTTTTGGCCAATCACGAATTACTGAAATTTCAGCTGGTCAGCAGAAATCCTTGAGCGGAGATAATGAACCCTAGGAGGAGGACTTGTGATTGTGGGAAGGAACACATCTTAAGGCTAGTGTAACGTTTAGCAGAACGAAGGGTAAGGAAGACCTGTCAAAGGTAATACAAGGGTGCCTCTCGCGACCGACTATATATCAAGATGTCACTGAAATAGACCACGAGAAATTTTCCAATGAAAGGTCGCAAGACATGATTCGTGACCCTCGTAAAAGTGTTACGATCATTAGACATTCCAAAAGACATAACTAACCACTCGTACAAGCCATCCTGGCTCTTAAAGGTGGTTTTCTGCTCATCCTCTAGTCTAATACTAATTTGATAATAACCACTTTGTAAATAAATTTTTGAAAACCAATAGGATCCTGATACCCATCCAGCATATCCTCAAGGCGCGAAATAGGGAACAATGATTTTGTTGATGGCACGACTATCAACACACATATGCTATGACCCATCTTCTTTTTAAGTAAGACAGAGACCGCACAAGATTAAGGCTATGACGAATAAAACTTTCGATAATAAAGCCTTGATTTGCTTATTTAGCTTGACCGGCTCCGCGTGGTTCATCCTATCGTAGGGGTGATTCAATAACCGGTGAACTAAGGGACTAGATTGATAGCATGGTGAATATCACGAATGGGATGGAGCTCATATGGTAGTTCATTAGGGGTGACGTCGATAAACTCATGTAGTAACAAAGTGACATAAAGGGGACAATCATTACCTGATTCAGAGCTCGTTGGGAACAAGCTTTGATCACCAACGCAAACATTAATCCAGTGTTTGTGAAACTCATGCTCAAAGTCCTTATGGGACAAGATGAATCCGGCTGTCTGTAGTATAAATGGGTTTTGCTTAGGGTCGTAGTTTCTTTAGAGGGTCGCTAGAAGAAGTTGAATGGGCTTGCCCTTATGGACAAACTCATAAATGTTGTCGAGCCCGAAGTGCTCGACGTCGTGATCATAAAGTCAGGGACAACCCAAAAGAATGTGAGTAACATCCCTAGTAAAGGTCCTCTAAATAGAATAGACCCAACTTAAGGGACACAAAACAATGATGAGTGAGGCAAAAAAGTCCTATCGACCCATACTGCCTTAAAAGGGAGAGGGCGAGGTTCAAGTTTGAAATTGGATTTGGTCACAGTTGATGTGGAAATGCCAATCATGGTACTACCACCATCAATTACTAATTCGCAAGAGCAAGAGTTGCGCGAGATGTACGTATGGAATATTGAGGTCCATTTCCAAAAAATCAGAGTCAACATGGGTGGATAGGATACATCTCATAATGGAGACGACAACCTCTTCCTCTAACACTCAAATTGATTGAAGTCCCTATTTGAATGGTCAATCGTGAAACATTCAAGATTAAAAGCAAGGCTACGATGAGGACACCGAGGGGTAATATGACCTTGATTCTAACAATGATAACATACGATTGATGGATTAGGGAAGCGGGAGGAAGCAGAGTGTGAAGGCTGACTCCTATTGGTTTTGTGGAAAAGTGTAGGCGAATTTGATGACCCCACAATTGTGCGAGACTAGGTAACCATCGAGATACTACCAGGAATGGTTGATGGACCTTTTAAGATGGAACCTCAAGTTTTAACATAATATCAGAGACCATTAAACTCCAACAGGTAATTCAATTCGATTAATACTTTAAAAAATGAGCACACGGATCTCAAAATCAATTTGCTCAAACGAGCCACCATCTTGTGGGGCTATTAATGGATAAATCCCATATCGAATAAAGATGAAAACATAGACCAACTTATAAAAAATTAGATTACTACGGTTCATAATGTTGACCTTTTAAGATGAGAACTCAAATCTGATGAGGATCGACGAAGGCCGAAGGACTACATCAAGCATATGGTGGACGAGAATACCTCTCATATTCGAGGGCTTTATGGAAAGCATCCTCTAAGGAGTAAAGATTGAGTGCATTGACCTGTTGTTTTGAGGTCAGACCTCGACCGTTAAGGTATGTCCTCGAGTTCATCAAGAGTGGAATGGTGCAACAACTCATCAAAATGAGATCTATAGTCAAACGTAGTCGAGAAGTTTAGTTAAGTAGACTTTCTAAAAGTTGAGATCAATGGTAAGGTGGGATGTACTTTTCAATTAATTTTGCTTTCATTTCCCCTCACACAGTGATAGGCTGTCCAAATCGTTCAAGGTTACGTATCAAGGTCTGCCAATAGCGTTAGCAGATTTGATAAGTTTCATTTTGGCAAAACGAATATGCTAGTAGTCAGGCATGTGATACGAACCGAAGTACTCTTTGATGGGATCCAACCAGTCTATAAAAGCTTTAGGGTCTATGCTGTCATCAAATGCAAGGGCATCTACTTTTTAATTTATCTAGTGATGTCATTTACTTTTTCTAATGAAAATATAAATAGGAACTAAATTAACAAATGATCAAGATTTTTTTTTTTTTCAGATATATTATTTTTCAATTTTTTTGGATTTTTTTTTTTTTTTTGAACTAATCTAAATTACTAAAACAGAAGAAAGCTGTTGTTGATGAGACGATTTTTCTTGTGTTTGTGTCGTTCAAAGATTGTTAAGAAAGTGGTTGTAGGACTTGGAATTGATGGTGGGAGAGTTACAGTATGTGTATGGACTGAATGGAAACAACTGGTTAGGATGTTTTGGATAGATGGTGTAAGGTGACGGTGTGTATATGAATTAGATTCAAGAACAACGGATGTTAGGCCAAAGGATAACGAATTACTCTGATACCAAATTAACGTGAAAAATGCGTGAATTTAATAAAAGAACAATAAGGTGAAAGAGAATGGGGGAGCAAAGGAAGGAATTGAGGGCAAAATAAATAGCTTCATTCATATAACTCTAGTGATTAAAACATTGTCTCAAGTCCCTTCACGTAGGGAAGGACTTTAAAACTAAGTCCTTGCTTGACCCAATTAAAATTTTAATACATTTTTTTCTTTTTTCTTTTTAGCTACACATTATTTACTAAAATAATATTACACATATATAAAAAATTCTTTCTTTTTTAACCACACATTCTCCCAAAAATTACTATTCTAAAATACATTATTTTCAAAAATCTCATTATAATGGGAGCCAAACAAGGGCTAAATAAACTTCTTATCTAACCAAATCCAAATAAAAGATAATTACTATAATCTAGATAAACTTCAATTCTACGTGGTCTTTCGCCTTGAATAAACTTTTCTCTTTCCTTATTGCATCACAATGTAGTTATTGTACTTTGACCATATAAGAAGTGAGCTAGTTGTAGAGGGATTTTAACATCAAAGTAGAGAAAGGGGTGTAGGATTCAAGACTCACAAAAAAGTTTGGGTAGCACATTGGATGGACCACAACACCAGGCATCACAAGATCATTGAATAAGGCCACATTATTGCCTGTACCTTTTCTAATCCAATCTACAACCATTCATTCAATCTTAAGATGACAAATTCATAGCATTCACGAGAACTTTAGGTTTCATACTAAAAAGGAAAATATTAATGTAACTTGAGCACTCATACCCTAGAGCAGAAGAGAAAGGAGGGTACTAGATACTTAAATCCGAGGCTTGTCAAGCCATGACGTCTAATCTGGAGTACAAGGGAAATGATGGTGATAAATTTCCTAGAGAGGAAAAAAAGTTCGTAGCTTAACAGAAAAATCAAAGACAAGCATTTAACAGTTATGCAGACATTCAACAAATCAAACAAGCCATGTGCAGGAGTTACATGATGGAGAGGAGTCCATGAATTAGTAATCGCAAATGAAAGAGAAAGCAAACGAAGAAGCACGTTTGTGTGTAAATGAAGCAGTCTACTGAAAAGACAATATGTGTCAATTACTGAACAATAGGAAACAGAAACTCCTTATCTATAAAGGTTCCCATGGTAATTATTCACAGTAACTATATATCAAAACATGGGATCAATCTTTCCTAGACAACAGAAGATACAGATTGTAAGCTAGAAGGGACTACAAGAAACCTTAAGTCCACGTTTGATAAGGACGGGAATAGATAGTTTAATGAACAAGATTTTAGCTCATTTTTGTCAATATAGTTCAATTCTATCCAATCTCTCTACCAAATATGCTGTGATCATTGTGAAGGAAAAGTAGAAGAAGCAGAATTTACAGAATGAGTTCTCAGAGTACCCAATCATGCAGTATGGGTAAGATTGACAGCCCGATTCAGTCTTTCAAGAATTACACCGGCCTTTCTCTTGGCTCTGGACGTCCCATTTTGAGCAAGCTGAGAGATTGTATGGTAGGTGCTTTCCTCGTTCCTTATCTCCTTCCACTTAGTTGGATCCCTAAAACATATAGTATAAAGGATTGCTATGCAATTCTCCTTGCTACGAGCACAGGCGATCTCTCTAATTATACACAGCAAGCATGGAACTGCCTTGAGCTCTCCCATTTCCTCGACTGCCTTTTGAATGCTTGAAAGCATGGCAAGAATAGATAACAACTCGTCAACAAGTATCCTTCTCACTATCTTTTTCAGTATCACTCCCACTGCACCATCTCTAACAGCTCTCACTTTATTCTCGTGGTTAATACATAGATTAAAAATAGCAGAAGCAACATCTTTTATAACTAGTGGATGCCCATCGTCTAATAGATCAATGAGAGGTTTCAATGCACCAGATTTACCAATGCGCTCCTTATTTGAATCAAGAGCTGACAACGAGAAAAGGGCTGCAGCTCCGTTGCCCATTGTTGCTGTTGTTCCTGTTCTTAATGCATCCATAAGAAGAGGAATAACCATTGGTTCTTCTGCAACGAGCTTCTTATTAGCATCCTGAATGGAAATATTCAAAAGTGTTGTGATTAAATCTTCTTGGAGGCTCAATAGAATTTCACTTGAAGACTTTTGAGAGAAGGGGAACAGCAACTGAGGTATGGCATTAGGACATTCACCAAAAAGTGCTCGGAACGACGGCATGCTTTTTGTCAATTCCCGCAATTCTTTTGCTGCATCCCTTTGAGCAGAGAGCTTTTTGGACATATTCTCCAGCAAAGTAATAAAATGGTCTCGATCAGCTTTCGTTAATCCATCATAATTGGAACGCTGAACACAGTCCGGCAATTTAATTCCATGATTCTTGCACCAGGCCAATATCATTTCTCTAATCAAGTTGTTCGGTGTAAGAAAAGTATGTGAGATTACATGCTGTGTCTTCGGGCACAGCCTATTCCCAGCATTTAAACGAGTCTCAATGAAGGGTCTATCATAAGTCTGCAAAAGTTGTAGCGAAATATCAAAATACAGACAAAAAAACTAAAATCAAATCGAAGGTATTTTAAAAATCTCCAATCTCTGGAATACGGTCAACCTTGTTATCAGGAGAGTACAACTAAATATTATTTTCACCATATCAACCAAAAGGACTATTAAAAAACAACTGAGCTTGTAAAATGAAAATTTCTGCTCATGATCAACAAAAGATGAAAGAAATAGTCCCCCCCCCCCCCCCCCCCCGCCCAAAAATCCATTCAAAAACCGAAGCTATAATTGAGGGTCAAGATTTTGCAACAAAAACGAAAATAATAAATCTTCACCCGTATTTATCCAAAAAAATAAAAAGATAAAAAAATAAAAAATCATAAACACCCTCCAAGAAATTATCATACAATCTTCAACGTTTATCTTTTATCTGAAGAAAATTTCAACAGCCAATACCCTCACCAAGATTTACACACTCAAACAAATCCAATGCATAATTCAAAGCACCTAATTCACACAAACATCCATAAACCTCAAATACTTTAAGAAAAAAAATGATAGACACAAAACTTCATTCGACTTTCTAAAACTAAAAATCACGAACCTGACCGGTGGAAATTATAACAGGATCCCTCATAAGTTCCTTTGAGATTGGGCACTTAAACTCCTCTGGCACTGCCACGGTATCATCAAGTTCCAAAGAAATTGGTTTCTTTAATTTCAATTCTCTTAAGGCACACAAAATTTGCTGGGTTCTATCAATTGCGTCCACATTAATATCATCTTCATCAACAATTTCCTTCACCATTTTCTGCAATTCATTCTTCAATTCAGTGGCCTTAGCCACCATTCCCGGATCCTCTTCAAAAATACCACTCTTCGCCATCACTATCCAAAAAAGCCAATCTTATGAAAGAAATCTAACTGGGTTTTTCACTCTTTCTTTGCAATTCCTTTTTTTCTCATTATCCTGGGAGCTTTAAACCGCTAGATTTTTTTTTTTCGCGCACCAAGACACGCAGTTAGTGTGTTCTAAGTGAAGTGTTGAATACGAATGAGAGTGGGAAAGTCGGGAATTATTTGTTGTGTGTTCTGTACTATAGTGTATGGGGGGTGGGATTGGGGTTGGCAGCTGGCAGTTACGCAGAAGAGGACTGTAGCCCGTAGGGTTCCATCATGCAGAGACTTTACTGGGGTAAATTTTTTCAACTTCTTCGACTTCCGCTTTGAGTTGGTCTTGTAACGATGCAATTGCTATGAGATATTTGACAATTTGTTGCTCCTAACTTTGGATTTAAGAGGGCATTAATAGGCATTGAATGATGAATTGAAAGTATGCTGTGATATCAATAAATATACATGAAATATTTATTCCAAAGAAATATTCTAAAAATTAGTAACATTTGCTAATTAATATGTTATTGTGCAATGGATCATATTAATTTTGAGAGGTCATACTATATTTAAGATATTCCTTTAACAAAATAATTTTTACTAATTTTAGGAATATTAATTTCAAATATAATAATATATTTTTGAAAACATCATTAATTTACTAAGTAAGAAAAACATTAAGAGTATGTTTGATTGCATTTATTAGGCCTATTTAGGCCCACAATAGATTGTGCTAACCTTACGTCTTTGTGCTAAATGGAAATTACACTCACACTAATTCCCAATTCAAAAATGAAGTTTAAATTTGTTTTTTTTTTTTTTCAAAAATTAGGTGATAATTCAAACTCTTAAGTTATTTTATATCTCCTTTCTCTACCTCTCACTTCTCTTTCTATATCCTACATTCTCTCCGTCATCGGAAGCATCGCTGCGTAGTGGCATCATGGCCCATAGCGGAATGAGCAACACGTACATGCTTATTGATGATGACTGTGACTTGAACTGAGATTTTTGTATGAAGTCATTGTGGTTTTTTTGTTAGTGGTTGGTTTTTTGCAAGTGGTGGTTGTGGTGGGGGTGACGATGGTGCTGACAGTTGTAGTGTAGATGATTGTGCTGGTAGTGGTGATGAGGTGGCATGACGTTTGGTTGGTGTTGTGGTGGATTGAGGGTTTGGATGCGGTGGGGGTGGGGTGAAAAATGTTTGTGATCAAATATTTGTGACCAATAAATAATATGTGATCTAAAAAAAATATGAGATTTGAACTAAATTTGTAGTCGTGACTTACAATTTGTCAAGTTATAACTAATTAATTTGTGATAACGAAATAAGTTGTTATATATAAAATTTGTGATTCAAAAATACTACATGACCCATTAATTTGAAAATTTGTGACTGATAAATAAATTGTGACATATAAAATTTGTGATTGTGACCAAGAAATAATGCGTGCCTAATTAATTTGATAATTTGTGAATGATAAATAAATTGTGACTTATAAAGTCTATGATGTGTGACTACGTTCTGTGATTGTGACTAGAACATTAATATAACCAGTAATTGTATAATATTGTTACATTAATATATTTATTTAATAAAAAATTTTAATTAATAATTATGACCTGATTTTAGACATTTTAAAACAATTTTTTTAGTTTGAAATTATATCTTTCAAAAACCTTAAATATGTAATGTTCTCTCTTCTAATTCAATATCACTTTTCAGAACTCGTATGAAGTATTTGTTTGGCACAACTTATTCAAAAATTATTTTTAATCACACGTTATTTCATTAAAATACGTTTGCATAATAACTTATAATTTTTCTAGTGGAATAATTAAATAAATCAGCTCTCTTCCTCTTCCAAAAAATAAAAATAAAAATAGAAAAAGAAAAATCGATCGATCTTAAGGGTGAAACTGTAAACGCACTTTTTGTGCAACTTTCTAAAAGTGCACCCATGCAACATGGCTTATTTTACATATTCATGACCAGTAATTTCTGTGGGGCATTTTCACTTATAACATATTTTTCTTATTTTATTGGCATTAGCGGCCGGTGGAATAAGATATGATAATTTTTTTCATTGACGAGATCGCGTTTTATCTTGTGTCATTATGCATGCCTTTAAGTGGTTCAATACTTTTTTTAGAGCAGATAGGAAGTGTTGCATACAAGTCTCGACACTTATTTATAAAGTTTGTACAAATAACAAAAATTTTATGAAGGGATACATTAAAATCATCGTTTATTCGAAAATAATTTTGATAATTTAAAGATATCAAATTGAGTATTTCAATAAACCTTTTTTTTTAAAAAAAAAATGTTATATCATGTGATTATTGATAACGATATGTTGAGCCGTGATTGAATTTTAGACCTCTGATTTTTTGCCAATGTTACAAAAATTGAACCGTAAAGGTTGAACCTACTGAAAAATCAAGATCAATATGTGTTAAAATGGTTATTTTGGAACGATTAATAGAATAGAATTTCAGAACTGGTTGATTTTTCTTTCACATTTTTATTTTAATTAATCTATTCATTTTTTTTAGAGTAATGTTATATGTACAAATTAGGTAACAAACATGTAAAAAGATGCTTTTAGTTTATATAATTTTTTACAATATAGCTCCAGTTTGAACTCCAATAAAATGAAATTTTGGGAGAAAATGTGTAATTGAAAATGAATTTCATGAAAAAAAATGCATTAAAAAAAAAATAGAGCTCAAACATGGACTTAAAATATGGTAGCCCCTGTTTGATGGAGTTTATTTAGGAAAAAAAAAACAATATTTTGAATATTGATTTTTAGGAGAATTTGTAATTAAAAGTAGAGATAAATTTTGGGTTTACGTGTAGAATATTTTATTACGTAAACGTGTGGTCGAAAATGAGTAGAAAAAAGAGTTTGAAAATAATTGTTTTCAAACAAGGGCGTAATGTGTATTGTCGTGGAATGCAAACATGTAATGTAGTCATAAGTAGTTTTAACGTCTATATCAACATATTACGTTAATTAAACTGTCGGGACAATTGATAAATAGGCTAGATTTGCAAGCAAAACGTAGTCGACTGATTTGATTGCACTACACTGAAGATGAGTTATTACTATGGAAGCAAATCGAAATTGAGCAATCGGATTGCACCAAATGAAACATTAGCGATCCTAATGCACCTCTATTCAAAGTTAGGTTACCTGCTGTGCATTTAATCGACTTTAAACACATCATATTACATTGTTATATGTGTGTAATAATTAATATGGGGAACATTGACAATATAATTGAGCCATATTTTTATTGAAAAATGCATTTGAAATAGTCGATTGATAGAAAATGTGTGGTTGAAAAATAATGAAAAATTTTAGATTTACGTATAACATTATTTTATTTAAAAAATGTGTTATTAAAAATAAGAAAGAAAAAATATATTTTAAAAATAATGGGGATGGAACAAGGGCTAAGAAGCCTTGTTCCCATTCTTCGTATAAATATTATTCGATGAGTTTAAGGATTGTAAGATCCATCAAAATCTAATCGTTCACGTCCATTTGTGTTTTGATGGGTCCCAGGTTCCACCTTAAATTGGATATGTCATTCTCTCGTGGCCTCACTCTTGCTTGTCGATTTTGATGGAAACATAAAATAGACCCAGATGGGATGGTGAGAGGGACTGAGCGCCTTGGTTTGTTTGAAAGATATTTCTTTAAAATTATTTTCATACGCACAATTCATGCATTTTTTTTTTATCATTTCTTCTCTTAAAAATATTTTTTTTCACTTGAACAAATCACTTTCAAACAAATGCTAAGTATTTCTATTATTTTTGTCAATAAATATTGACAAAGACCAAACCAAGAAGTAAACTGACAAATATTAATAATGTGACGTCTCAATCAATCTCTAATACGAAAAGCGAGCCAAAATATCCAAAATACTTTTATCAAATAGATGAGGCTCAAATCGGTGAATAAAATGTAAATGTATAATATGTTCAATTATAAGTTAACCAATCAATGGCTACTACGCGTCACCAACAAGAAAGACTCATTTATCCTTAGGGCCTAGTTAAAAATCCTTTATTTTATGGGATAAAAACAAGTATTGGATTAAGTTAGTGTTGTGGGGTAGACCTTTATTTTGCGTGGAGTTAGTTTGTTCCTTGGTGAGGCACACCTTAGGCACCATGTCACACTTCAAGCTCGAAGACCTCGAGGTTGTACCTCGAGTTTCATTGATGGGGGAAGTCTTAAGTGGCAACCTGGGGTTAGTGGATCCTCGAGGTCAAGGTAGATTCCACGATGAGCTAGGAAACATCAAGCATATGAAGCTGAAGGCCGAGTTCGTGGACTATCGGTTTTGACATTATCAATTACATTTTATTTTTTTTGGTTTTTCACAATGATCGAAAACAAATTTTATGTCTGTACAATATAATTAATTTCGACTAGTTCAATGAATATTTTGACTCTTGACCTCTCCACTGAAGTCGGATATTTTGGGAGAGAAAGGGCAAGCAAAATTGAGTAGCTTCCTTCCAAATAGTTATTTCTCTTCTTTCTCCTCCTTGGTAATTAGATTAGAGAGTTTAGGAGGGAAAACCCCTGATTATGTGATCAGTATTTTACAGTCAACAATTATTTTAGTTACAGCTAAAAATTACTTTACATGGAAAAGGTCTAAACCTACTATTTTAAGAGTAAAATTTTAATATAAGTATATTTGATAAAATAAATAACTTATCCAAATATAAACCTTAAAAAATAGTGATAGAAAGGTGTCTAAATTTGCCCTAGTATTTCAAAGCCTTCAAGCCCTAATATTCAGAAACCGTAAAGTAGACTCCGTCAAAACCACACATCTTTTTTAAGATTATATAAAACAGCCCATTGTTTTGAATTTTTTATGCTTAAATCTTACCTATTGTGACTTGTTATAAAGTTTTTATAATATATTTTACTTATAAGCTAAGCCAATCATGCTCTAATA